GGGGGGGGGAGAGGGGTGGGTGGACGGTTGCAGGGAGGTGGTGAAAGGCAGTGTCATTAGGTTAGAAGCTTTTCATTTTTAATCAATGAATGCGTAATACTTTTCTTCTCCTTGTTTGCCTCTCGCAGACAGAAAGTGGATTAGCCCGTGGAATTTTAAATGCTGTTGAGTTGCTTCCTTTGCTCATGTTTCTTTTATGAATTATTATTTTATATGGTGAATTGCTTCTCTGTGTAAAAGCCCTTTTTTACATACTGGGCTTTCAAAGAATTTGTTGGATATCTGATTTCTTCATTAAAATCTTGTTTGTTTCTGTAACTACCCAAGGTTACCATTTCATTAAAGGCACAAGCCAAGTCATAAGGACATTTATAAATTTGTCACAGTCAGTAAGGTACTAAAAATATAACACTAATAATAACTTGTGTGTGTGTGTGTGTGTGTGTGATGAAAGGTGTTTAACAAACCATAATTTTGATAGTCTACATCTTTTTTTTAAAAAAAAAAAAATTATTCCTTACAGAGATAGTTTTGATTCAGCCCAATTCAAATTATTTTCTTCATCATTCTTGCCCGGGAATGTAAAAAACACTTGTCTAATACCATCACAACTCCATGTTGCTACAAGTACAGTGTCCTTAAAGCTAGCATATACCATTCAATCCACACGCAGAGAATGCAAAGACTGATATGCTCTGTGGACTTCTTTATAAACTGCTTTCAGGGTTTGAATCAAGAATTGCATGCAAACGAGCTGGGCCCTGCAACTTTTGTTTTCCTTTGACCACAAGCCCATCAGCCCAGACCCAAGTTGGCTGCTATGCAGTTATGTCCTCCCGTAGATACATTGTGAACGTGATGAGAACTGTCTTGAGACCTTCTCTGCATTAAGGGAATTCATCCTGGATCAGTTATTGTTTCATGGGAGCAGACATCTATTACAGATATGGCACCTGGGTACAAAGCAGGGTGTTAATTCCTATGGTGTATGTCAAACTGGTACCTACTTATGCCTCTATGAATTTCTTTTGGCAGGGGCTGGGAAGAGGGGTGGTCAGTTAGCTACCTACCTGCCATCAAAAAGTCAGGGGAAGTGGAATGTCTGTAAAAGACTTGACATAAGTGACACCCCAATCCTCTGGTTATTTCTGAATTTGGGGAGAGTATGTGATGTTGCAAGAGAGTCATATTCACCCTGCTTCTCATATCCCAGAGCAGGATGAGGCATCCAGCTTCACACACATCATGGGGATGGGACATCACTGATACTTTTCTAATTGCCATCTCCACCAAAGTAGCTGACTGGGATGAATTTTTGGGAAGTGACCTAGAGTGAAGAAAAGCCACCATTTCCACCTTTGCAAGCTCGATGTTTGCAAAAAAAAAAAAAAAAAATTATTTTTTGAAGCACCTTTTGTTTTGGGTTACAGTGGCAGAAATGGCCGCACTGTCCTTCAGGATAAACCAGAATGGGGCTGACACAGTCCTGAGACCCTCCCTCTCCCCATGTCTCTTCCCCCCCATCCCCTCAATCCCTGGTGAATTATGGTGTTAAAGAATTTATACCTCATTTAAATATTCATGCAGTTTATACCCAAAGCCAGGCTTCGGCTGAAGTGTATAAAGGTAGCATAAGTCAAAATTTGATTCACTATATTTACAGGTGACGGCTTGGACAACAGTGTAGCTTCCCCCAGCACAGGTGATGATGATGATCCAGATAAGGACAAAAAGCGACATAAAAAGCGTGGCATCTTTCCCAAAGTAGCCACAAATATCATGAGGGCATGGCTGTTCCAGCATCTAACAGTAAGTGAACTCTAGATCACATATGCAAAATAAAACATGGAAAATGTCATAGTTGTAGTAGTCGTAGAAAGCAAAAAATACATATTATGTTGCTGACAGGTAGCTCAGGGAACTTTTCCGAGCAGAGTTGTTGTTGCCTCATTTGCTAGATGCTAGGGGAAGAGCACAGAGTGTATGTTTTTATGGTTTGGGTTTTTTTCTGTGTGTGTTGTTTTTAGATATTTTTTTTTTTTTGGTTCAAGTCGCAGTTGTTAACAGGACGTCACTGCAAAGTGTGACTAAGCTTATACTAATAACCTTGGAGACCTGTCCTGCCCTGCTGCTTGCACAGCTGCAGCTCCCCTTAGCTGACGTGGGAATTGCTGCTTCGGAGCAGAGAGCAGCGTTCGGCCCTTGGTTCTGCGCTCTGGAGAACCGTGGAAAATAATTGGGGAGATTAAAAACAAAGCAAAAAGCAAACAAAGACCTTATTCAGATGTTTGTCAGAGATCATCAGAAGCTTCATGTTGAAAGGTCTGAATGTATCTGGTTTAATAGCAAAGTGTAATTTTTTTCTTTGAGATGTTCTCATTCCCAGAGTGTAAGTTACTCCTATATTTAATGTTATAAAGGGGTGGGGGGATGTGGAGCTATTTCTGTTGCCACAGCTACCTGTATTTTTTTTATTCCTGGGATTAGAAATCAAAGCTCTGGACAGGTGTGGGGGGTTAAACTGGATGCTGGAGCTTCTTTCAAGGCTTTACATTGTGTACCATACCTTCTAACGTTAGCATTTAGAAAAGTGTTTCTAATGCCATTCTCCTTTTTCATCAAATTGTGGTGAACTGTCACTGTGTTTTCATCCACTGTGGGGATGTGGGCCTTTGGCCCCAGGTTTTCTGTCTGAGCTTTTCTGTGCCAGGAAGATAAGGGCCAGGTGAGGGTTGCCGGCGGTCTGCGGGTGGTAGTGAAGAACAGCTCTCACTTCTAATCCCAGCAGTTGACTCTCTCCCGTGCCTGTAGTTAGGGTCAGGGTGAAACCAGAAGCCAGCCAGCTTGCCCAGCCCTGCTGGGAGCCTTGCCAAGGGTGTACTTGTAAACTGGAGGAAGCGCTCACACACATCGCCCCTCCATCCGCTGCTGAGCCAAGAAACCAGATATCTGCCGTGACTCTTGTCAGCATGGGGATCAGGCGGGGAATCTTTCCCTGCGCGGTCCTGGGTTGCTATGAATGAACCTTCATGCTGGAGCACTCCTCCTCTGAGGCCAGAGAGAGCCTCGGATATCTCTAAGTTAATCTCTCTCTCTGACAGGCTCTACATCAGCTGTGCCCCAGCTTTGCCAGCTCCTTTGCCCTGTCCCTTGTGCATTTAGTGCATGGCTGCCAAAGGCTGAGGTCCCTTTTGGCTTTGATGGTTCCCTAGATCTAGGTTCTCTCTCAGGAATTGCTGACAGCCTGGTGTGTCTTCACAGGTAGATGTCAGGTTAAGGACATCTGCCTCCAAAATGGTCCAGGGATGCTGGGCCAGCAGCAATGCTCACACCAGCCTGATGCAGCTGATTTAGGTTCTGGTTTGAGGAGATACCCTGGAAGCTCTGCAGTCAGGACAAGGCACACCAGGGGACACTGAGCAACTGCATGACAGTCCCCGTAATTACCAGCTGAGGAATTACAAATTAAGTAGCGTATTAATATTTCCTGGAAGTTGCCTGTTGCTGTGTTTGTGCTAGTAAATTAAACATCACCCAGGCACAGGAATGGGACGGTCTGTCCTGTTAAACTGCTTGATCCATCTTCAGCACGCTCTTAGCCTGGGCCAGATTCCACCCTCCAAACACACTGCTGAGAGCACAGCAGAAGGCAGCAGAGGTGACTCCTAAAGGACCTCATGGCAGGAGCCACCTCTTGTTGAGCATTTAGCTACGTGGGCTTGACTTGACCCTGCAGCTGGCTTCATGCACAGTCTCAGGACCCTATCGCTGTTTTGTCTAGATTAGGTGTAGGGTGCAAGTGGCTTTTCACTCTTCTGTGTCGTAATAGTGTGCAAAAGAGAAGATGAGTGCCTGTGGAGCTTGCTGCAGTGCTGATAGCTGCCCCTGGGAGACAACATCTGGATACCTGCTTATAAGGTGGACTCTTCTTCTGGAGGGTTTAAACACAGACAGAACGCCCCCCTCCCCTGGCCCCAGACCTTTGCAATGAAACTGCTGCATTTTCTTCCTTGCAGCACTAAGCTAAGGCTTGCTTTAAAAATCTGCCATCCCCTGTGCAAATCCAACCCAGCCAGATGAAGCATGCAGATTTATTTCAGGGCAGCTTTCTCTTCTCCTGGCAGCATCATGATAGCTCCAGGCTTGTCTGATCAATTCAGTAAAGAAGAACTAGTTTACCTGGTCCAACCTTCTCCAGCTAAGACCTTGAGACAGACCTTTCAAATCTACTCTAGGTGAGATTGTGGACATTTTCTCCAAATTAAAACATGACTGGACAACATTGTAGGCTCTTCCAAACATGTGTCTCAGCTGGGAGTGCTCTTGCTGGAGTGAGACAGCACCACAGAACTTGTGCATCCAGAAGAGCAGTGGGTCTTGTGTTTGGAGGAAGATATCCTCCAGGCAAACACATTGAAAACATGGGGAAGAGTCAACACTACAGTTAGTGCCAGAGCAATATAATATGCTGACAAGCTGCTTGGGGTGCTGTTCTCTCTGAAAAAAAACCCAGGCCTGAATCATGTCTGCAATCAGAGCTGAGGAGTAAGGGGGTGAGAGACTGGCGAAATGAAGACTCCAGTTCATTTTTGAGGGTGTCTGGGCCCCATGACTGCTCTTATAACCCTACACACGGGCATGACAGTGTCCTCAGCTGGGCTTCTTACTGTGAGAGGGAGGTCATCCCGAGGACTGGTCAGCTGAGGAAACTAGAGATCCCACACTATTTATTTATTTATTTATTTATTTATTTATTTATTTATTATTACTGAATTTGGACTTCCCTAGGGTAGACATGAGGTTCTCCCTAAGGCAGGAGGTACAGAGAGATAGGAAGGTGATTCTGTTTAGGCAGGGGACACATCAGGGCAGGTGATACCTCCCTTTTGCCCACAGTGCTTAACCTGCCTTCACCTTCCCATCCAGAAAATGGCAGGGAAGAAACGAGCAGCGATTAAGCACAAAATCCAGTATCCCCTTGACTGCTGGTGCTTCCTAATTGGAGTGTTAGTTGGGAGCCCTCCTTTTCAAACGCAAATTTTTTTCCCTCACAATTGTAATATTAATACACATCAGTGGCATGGAATTAAACAAAATAGACAGTAATTGCTGTGTCTGTCATACTAATGATTAATGGTTGGAAAGACTTAAAATAAATGTTGGACAAATACAATCTTTCAGAAGTGTATAGGCTGGTTTAATTCCTTCTATGCAGTTATTCCATCTCAAAGACTATTAAGTCTTCCTCTGTGTACTGACTTCATTTGCTAAGGTTTGCCCCTTAGTTCTTGTTTCCCACTTAGGAGGAAATTTTTTTTTTCTTTACTGAAGAAAAAAAAATATCAAATGCCAGACCATAGCCTCTCCGGTTGTTGAAGTGTCATGCTGCAGCCCCCCGTTATTTTGTCTGATGTGCAGAACTGAGTTGACATATGCCCAAAGGGTAGGCAAGCCCTGTCCTCTGTGGATGCAGGCAGTATGCTCGAAAACACTGCAGGGGATAAATTCATCCAAATTGTCCTATTCTTCCCATTAGAAAAATAACAACAACAAAATCAGCTAAAACAATTGCAAAAGTGGTGACCAGACTTACTTAGGACTTTGCAGGATTTATTTTTAACTATTTGCTATTCTGCTGTAATTTTGATTAAATGTCTGGGTTGGCTGTTAGTTAGCCGTGGAGCTTGTTGAAATTTTTGATGGTAGATTATGACACCAGCCTGTAAATCTTGAGGTTTGTGAAATCTTTTTAGGATTTTGCTAAAATTTGAAGCAGAAGGAATGGCCTGTTAATATTTGGGGAAAAAAAAAAAAAAAAAAAGAGCTACTAATAGTTTGGTGAAAAGGTGAGGACACCCCCAATCTCTAAATGTTGAGTCAAAAATGAGGGAGGCTTGTGGGGTGGTATCAGATGAACATCAAATGCCATGGCAGGGTCATGAGGAGTGACTGTGGCAAATTAGTCCTGTGCTGGAGCTGGGCTCCAGAAAGTTGCCCAGAGGACAATTTCAGGGTGTGCTGCAGGCAGCAACATTTTACAGGCCCTCTTTTTTTTCTTCATTATTTCTTAGCTCCCTAACATTCAGGGATCATATCTCACCACCATTTTTCAAGCAGATCTCCTCACTGTAATGTATAGCCCTCAGCAGGGATTGAGAAAAGCTTGGAGGAAGGGAAAGGGAAGAAAAATTAATCTTGCCTACAACCAGATCTGTGTAAATTTAATTGTGGCAACAGGATTAGTTTCTGTTTCAACCCATAGTATGCTTTTGTCCCAGCAATGGTACCTTTTTGTTCAAAACTAGAAGAAGGGAGTTTGTATGGTATCTTTTCAAGCGTTTTGTTCACTCATTGTGAATTCTCTGCATCCTTTAAATCCAGCTTAATTTAAAATGTTGGGATTCAAACCTCATTTGGAGGATTATATGATGTAATTCGTTTGTTATATGATGAGTATTTGATGATCTTCACATTCATCATCTAATCAAGCAAAAAAAGCCATAAAATTATAATCCCAAAAGATGTTTAATAACAATTTAAACTATTGAAGGCTTTATTTAAGCACATTAGGGGATTATAAACTCCTTTTTTTTTTTTTTTTTTAATGGTGCCAAGAGGTAGATTCAAGGACTTCAAACACCTTTTAAAAAACAAATTGCCATGATTTAAAAAAATGAATGGGCCAAGGATTTCTTTCATGTAAATCCCCTAATTTAATCATTATTTTAAACTGCTTTTAAAACAATTTCCTTAAGAGGTTAAATCTTACTGAAATAGGAGACTGAGCAGAAAGCAAAAGACATAGCTGA